AAATAGGAAAATATTTGGTCAATCCTCCTTCAGTTTGAACACAATTAACAGCTCTAGTATACATATTTTTAATGACTTGAATATAAGTCATATCAACACCTTTCTTCTCGAGAACTCTCCAAAGGATATCTCTTGGAACCTTATCGTAAGCTTTTTCTAAATCAATCAAAATCAAATGTAGATTCTCCTTATTATCTCTGAACTTCTCCATCAAACCTCTCAAAAAATGTATAGCTTCCATAGTAATCCTGCCCATCATAAATCCAAATTGATTATGAGAAATCTTTGTGATGCGTCTTAACCTATGTTCAATTACCCTCTCCCATAATTTTGTTCATCACATGAGCTACACCAACCCTAAACGACGCACCACGAATGCGACATATATAAATTAGGCCCCAACCAACAACATATTCAAACAACCTGCACTCGCAAATCAAATTGTACAAATACATCAATAGGTTCAAATTTACATAAAAATGACGCTCATATTGCTCGGATCTCTGCACAAATGCAAAATTGTTTGCGCAAGGTTAGACGATACACTAATGGAGACATGCATGGGTTGCATGAGAAATGACAAATAATTCATCATCTGAGATAAAATTATTATTATTATTATTATTATTATTATTATTATTATTATTATTATTATTATTATTATTATTATTATTATTATTATTATTATTATTATTATTATTATTATTATTATTATTATTATTATTATTATTATTATTATTATTATTATTATTATTATTATTATTATTAAATCAAAACTAAATCTCTCTAAAAATCTTATTAAATCTCTATCCCTGCTCTCGCCTATAGCTTAATCTAATCCAACGAAAGCATTGTGCCACCCATGCCCTTGATTTAACAATAATAATTTAATCACCCATAAACCACTTCTCTCATTTCGGCACCAAACTCCCCATCTTCTTCACGCTAGAACCACATGTGAACTCTCCCAGTGTCGCTTTTGTTCCTGCACAGCCCGCTTCCCTCAAGCCCGAACATTCCCAACCCCTTTCCTCTTCACCTCTAGCCCGACAACAGCTCATTGCACTCTGCTGCTCATGATTCGGTAGTGATGCGGATCACAAAACCCAGCAACCCTACCAGCCCTCACATGCACTAAGGCCAATTCCTCCCTCGGTCTCCCGTGAGCAGCATTATACACTCCCTCTTTCTCAACTCTGTTGTGTATTAAAACACCCGGTCCCCACTCCTTGTGCCGAACTGGCCTCACTTCTCTTCAGCCGAATTCCAAGCAAGTTACCTCTTTTCCTCCCAGCTCCCCTCTCAGCTGTTGGGACAAACCATCCTAGCTCGTCCTCCCTCCTCATCTCTGGATCGAACTAGTTCTTTTCTCCATCTGACTCATACACCAAACCGCAATGCCAAGCCAGAAAGGATGTTGCTATCATTGTTGGCCTTAATGTTATGAAAAGCATTAACTGAG